TTGTTCTTCCTTTTTCAAGAAAATTTGTAGAGAGACAAGAGTCTTACACTAAGTGAAGGGGGTGTGAAATTTTGTCCAAGGGGAATATATAGACAAAAGACCCAAGTAAACTGTTTAGGCTGACCATATAATAATAAATTCTTAATTAATTGTATTTTTAGAGTAAAATACAAAATAAAAAATAAAGATTTTTTTTTTTTAAAATAAAATGGAAAAAAAAAGGAAGGATTTTGAAATGGGGCTATCATCATCGGAAAGAGTCAAAAGCGGACAGCAAAGAGCATTTACTCTTTTGCTTGCAAAAAGTCAGCTGTGTGCTTATAGTGATTATTAGTGATCCTTTTTTTCTATTTTTATTTTTTATATATTTTTATTTTTATTTTTATTTTTTCTCTTACACTCTCGGCCACACGAAACCGCGTGGCAATAAATATCATTATTTTTAATTTTTTTTTTTTTACTTTGGCTTATGTTACCAACTTCAATATTAATTACAACCTAATTTAGTGTTACTCATGAGTAATTGACTACTCATCCCACTATACTATATAGTTTTTGTGTGGAATTCAAATGTAGTCTTCGATAAGGAATTTTTCGTCTAATATTATTAATTTATGTGCATATGTCTTGGTGCTTGAATATTTAAATGAATATTAAAAGACCAAGAGTTCCCATCTAGTGGGGATTTTTATTTTATTTTTATTTTTGTTTTCATGTACAAGTGTTTTTTTTTTTAATTTGAATGTTGCAAAATTGTAATAGATTAGATTGCATTATTTCAGCAAAATTTGAGTTTTAAGTTGCCAATCAATAAAATTAGTGAGGAAGTTTGAAATTGTATAAGTTTTCTCCTATTAATAATTGTGTAATTCTGAATTTACTAAAATAATTATTGGGCTTGTTGAGAAAGAGGAGATAATGCATCTTAGAGTATTCACAATGTTTTAGATCTATCAGATTAGTACATCATAGGGAAATAATCGAAAGCATAGAGAGAGAGGTGTACATGTCGAAATTTTAATATTTTATTAATTAATATGTTTATTTATTTTTCAACATAAGTCCGTGATAAATAAGATATATAATTAATAATGATATTATTTCTTGTCCATCAAGCCAAATTTAAAGAGATTATATCAAATCTTAAGATAAGAAAAGATATTATATCAAATCATGAAAAAACAATCAAATTGAAAATCTTCTTCACCAAAACTATCTCTCTTACGCCTATAAATTGAGCTCTCATCAAAGCCACAAAATCAGAACTAAAAAATAAAAGTTTCAAATTCAAGAGCTCTCAAAAACCCTTTTGAAGATCCAATGGCTCAAGTAGAAGGTCGACGTTCAACCCGAAACAAAGCATTTGAACGATCGAAATCCGTTAAATGAAGAAGATGGGGCGTCGAATCTTCACCAAGAAATAAAGAAACGACTTCAACTCCTCTTAAATCAATCTAAGAATATCGACGGCGTTCAAACTACATTCAAACCATGTTGACTTAATTTTGTAAGACACTATAACTTTTCACTTTTTCTCACCCTCGTTTTTTCATTCTAGATTTTCCCACCTTCTCTTCCTAATTTTTTGGGTTGAAATGTGTATTTTTATGGTTATGGGACGAATTATGTATTTTTTATTTCGTTATTGTTGTTTTTCTTAATTTTTAGGCCCAAATAATCTATTTTGGGCCCAAAATTGAAAAATAAAAATTAAGCCCAAAATGAAAAAAATAAAAATTGAAGGCTAAAAACACGGATTTTAGATTTAACCGGTTAACCGTCAAACCGGACCATCCAATGTGGTCCGGATTGTGTCCGGTTAAAAAAAAAAAAATCGGTCTGGTTATGGACAAGAAAAAAACTAACCGTTAGGTCCGGTTTGGTCATGGTTTGGGCTAAAACTGGACCAATCCGGACCGTGAACACCCCTAGTGCGCGGTGGTCAGGCGGACGCTGAGCAACGTTGGGGCGATTGTGCAGGCGCTAGGCAGATGCGTGGTCGCCGAGCGGACGCTGAGCTGGGACAGGGCTCCTCGAGCGTGGGCGCACGGGTGAGTGCTAGGTCTCTCGGGCCTCGGCAATGCACGAATCACTAAAGACACATCTTTCATAAAAAATTGACGAGATTTTCTAGTCAACTCTCGGCATTGCAAATTCCTATAAAATAAAAGATAAATATTAAGATAAATTTATACCATAGGACACTAAAACGACGCAAAAACCACAAAAACGAACAAAACGACTAAATGAATCAGGAAAAACCTAAAACAAAATAAAACGAATACAAATTAAACACATAAAAATACACAAAATAACAATAAAAAACATACAAAACATTCTACGAGTTACATGTTAAGGGAATACGAGTCATATGACTATGATTGATTAACAAAGTAAACAATGAAGTTTAAAACGAGGGAAATTAAATATAATCACAATTCTTAAAGATTCCTTTGGTAATAACTAAAGTTTTTTAGCCAAAATTCAGTATTATTTTATAGTAAATCTTCAACATTTTATATATTAATTGATGAATAAAAAACTTATATATTTACTATGATATATAGTCAAATGCCACCACCTAATTAATTATGTTATAAATTATAATAACATGCAACAATATACATTAGCTAAACGCAATATCATTAGGGAAATTAAGAATTGTGTTTAGAATAGATCTTACCTTATGTTGGTTAAATATGGTGAGAAAAAAGGTATGGTTTTGATTGCCCATTGTATATGTGTATTCTATTCTTGCATAATGGGTTGGTACAAAAACAGGGAACATATCCCGCACCTAAGTCAATTTAAATTTATATTATGCCACCTAAGTTGTTAATCACATTTAATTCTATAGATATGACTCATCATTATTATAATTATTATGTTTTTTTATAAATTATTTTAAATTGCAACTGCATCCCCTCAATAAATTTGAGCGAGAAAGGAGTGGATCGTAGATAATCTGAGTATTTCTAAGTTCCCATATTCGAAAAAAAAAAGGTAGCTTTCTGAAAATTTTAGTTTCACAATTCATGTGAATGTCAATAATCATGTGAATATTTTGATGGATGGTGCAGTATACGTATTTTTTTTGGTGCAGTATACGTATTTAACATGGGTTGGAATATCACTTGTGAGTGTCCCACATTGATTTTATAAGGAAAATGAGTCTAGTATATAAGTCTAGTGGGCTACTCCTTCCATTACCAACTGGTTTTGGGATGGAACCTCACTAAGGTGCATCTAGCTAGGTTCACCCTCTTATGGTGCGCCTTCATCTGGTGGGACCGCACTCTATTCCCCCATTCTAATATGGTATCAGAGCGGGCCTATCCTAGGACCTGCAATGACTCTTTCTCTACTCGGCCTGCTCTGGGCTTGGGCTTGTGAAGGACTCACAAGTGAGGGGGCGTGTTGGAATATCACTTGTGAGTGTCCCACATTGATTCTACAGGGAGAATGAGGCTTGTGAAGGACTCACAAGTGAGGGGGCGTGTTGGAATATCACTTGTGAGTGTCCCACATTGATTCTACAGGGAGAATGAGTCTAGTATATAAGTCTAGTGGGCTACTCCTCCCATTACCAATTGGTTTTGGGATGGAACCTCACTAAGGTGCATTTAGGCTCACCCTCTTATGGTGCGCCTTCATCTGGTGGGACTGCACTCTCTTCCCCCATTCTAATAACTGTTGAGTATATTTTTGGGCATGTGGTAACCGAGCTACCCGACTCGGGTCGTT